GGGGGGATGGGGAGCAGCGCTGTGGAAACGCCTCACAGTTGTCCGGAGCGCGAAATCCGCTCCAGAGGAAATCTCTTGGGTTTGCGGCATTATCTTAATTAAGATAATTGATTCATATTGCACCTGCGAGAGTGCGGGAAAAGGATGCCTCCCCAAATAGCTTAAAGCTATTGGAGAGAGGAAGCGGCGCTTGCAATTTAGCGAGTGATTTACTGCCTGGGCAGCCCGGGCTGTGCGGGCTTTCTCCTTTCCTTGTCACGATCCCTGCTCCTTTCCTCTCCAGCGGGGCACCCGCGCAAAGCCCGAGGGTTATCCTTAAAAAAAGCCTCCATCCCACCGCACGGCGGGGCCGAAGCCGAGCTCGGAACGGCCCAGCTCGCGTTTGCCTGCCCGGGCCCATGACGGGCCCCTTCCTTCGACCTCCTGCCCGCCCTGCGACCGGAGCAGGGCACGGGATGAGCGGGCGGCCGCTCCGGGATGCACCCAGCAGGGATCGGTGCCTCGGCTCAGGAGGCACCGGTTGGGAATAGCGCTCTAAATACCACTGTGGAACCGCCTTGGTGCTGGGGTGCGCCTGTATGGCACAGGCTGCTTTCCAGGATGCGTGTACAGCTGGGCTCAAAATTGGTACCAATGATAAAGGTGCTTTTTTGAAATATTTTTTTTCCCCCCCCTTAAGACTCAGTGTATTAATTTTATTGAGCCTTTCCCTGTTAGATAAATGCTGTTGTTTTAATTCTATAAATGTAAACTTCTATTTAGTTAATGGAAAATACATCACCATCAAGGTTTAATTATCAGCTTTTAAAATTACTCTTTTAGTCAAGTGCTCACAATTAGGAAATCACAATAGATTTAAAGATACAATTCAAATTGATTAAAAAAAAAAACAAACCACTAACACCAAACAAAACAACAAAAAAAAACCCGCCAAAAAAAAACCAAACCCAAACCCCAAACAAATCAGAAAAGTACGTACCATTAAAGCAAATATCTAAATGGTATTGGTAGGCCAGCTACCGCCTGGGCTAGGGCTGGAGTTTAAGTAACATCAGCAGGCTTTGCTATCCGTGTCAAACCACCTCTCATATTAGGAAAAAGGATTCTTATCGGGCAGGATTTAGGTGCTGTTATAACTGCAAAATCTAATTATTTTTTGATCCAGACATTTACCCCTGGAGTCCCACTTTGTTTAAATAAAGTGCTTTCTTTCCTCTTGAACAAATGCATTTCCATTTGAATTAAATATTGATAATTTGACCTTTTAGTTCCTTTAACTAATCAAAAGGAAAAAAAAAATCCAAATGTAGATCCTAGTGCCTTGCCCTAGTGGGTCTTTCCGCTTGAATAGACGCTGAGATTAAATGAGTCAAACTTCCTCTTTCATTGCACTCTCTTTGCACTAATTGCTTATGCAAAAATGCAGATTTGTATTAATTAGTAACTCCACTGATTAGTTTGGTGGTATTTTCACGTAATAAATCATGCTGCAGACACAGTTTTTGGCACGTCCCCAGTAGTGGCTCAGGATGCAATAAGTTTTCCATATTAAATAAAATCTTAGCCTAGATCTACCTTTTCGTTGCAGGTACACTGCGTACCACCTGCTGCAAGCACCTGCTACGGGAAATTACCTTCTGTCCCTGGCAAGCCTCTTTCCTTGGTAATACACTCCTCTTCACAGGGTGTAGGCTTTAAAACGGGAAGCATGAATCACAGAAGCAAAGGAGAGAAATTTGATGTTATTTTTAACACTTGCAAATGAATAATGCTCATTTTAAAGGGGATGAAACCTATGCAAGATACCTCAGATGTAGGTTTTTTCTTTTCTTTCCTATGCCTAGTCGCATGATCTGCTTTTAAAGCACCATTCACTGCATGTCCGAATTGTCATGAATACAGCTTATTTTTTTATTTTTTTCATTTCTTTCTCTTTCCTTGACCTGCGGAGACTGGACTCTAACAAACATGACACTTGTTAACTGAAGCTTATGTCATAGTCAGGTACAGAGGCCTCAGCAGCAACAAGACTCTACAATATCCATAATGCTATCTACACAGTACCAAAGATGTCCCTGCTTGCTCGTAGATAAAAATCTCTCCAGAGCACACACAGGCTGATGTATCAAGTAGCTTAGATCTACATCTGAAAAACCTTTCCCAATTCTTTAAAAAATCATCCCAGGTAATACCTTTCTACCTGTTTCTCTTGGAAAGAGCTGTCTCTGCTTCATGCCTTTTCCTCAAGTAAGCCAACATAATGCATCAGCACAATATGTACCACAACAAATAATGGTGATAAATGCAGTAATTGGAATAAAACATTTAAAAGCTCCAAAGGAATATGAGAGATGATGACACTGGTGTAATTTCCTCATAGATTACGTCTTTGGGTGCAGATCATGAAAAACCTTTGCCTCTGTCTGGCCAAGACTCTTACTCTTGTAAGTAGGACTGCTACCACAAACAATCTCACAGGATCTGGCCTTTGGACCCCAATCTAAGCAGTGCAATGGGGTGGAAGAGCAGCAAACACAGGTGCCAGCAGATTATCCAAAGCTTTGCTGAGATTAAAATCTTGTCTCAATATGAGTTATTGCATATTCTCTAAATAGAAATCTCCTTAGTGGTGGCTTTAAAAGGTCTGCTTTTGTTTTCCTCTGAGAGAAAATGATGGTTGAAC